TAAGTGGTCTAAATGTATTTATCTGTATTTATATATTCTGTGGAAGGCTCGGTCCGAGCGTTTTAATATGCTTTCCTACCTGCCCGTCAACGTATGTATTAGCATACCTCTGCGCACCCAATTCGCGCAGACAGGATACGTCATTAGCGCGTTCACGCACGCTGTGCAGACAGAGACAGGGCGAGGATGGCAGGCAAACATCAACAACCAGATCTTCCTGGCATTGTAGTACTTTTAAAGATTTCTCACCGGTGAATGACACATGATGTAGCCCAGCGGTTAATCCAGTCCTCGCGCCAGCTCGTTAGAAGTGAGCTACGTGCATGAACTGTGTTCAGATCGATATGATCCCTATACAGTGTTCATTGCTCCCTGCTCCCTGAGCGGGGGAAATCCGTTGAAGTTTACTTCACTTCGGAACATGGGCTGGAATTGGGAACCGCTGATGTAGCCTATTGTAGTAATGTTGTCTCTGGTCACCATGAGGCAAACATGAAATATCAGACATACAGTAGTAGTTCTTTACAGGTTTTTTATTCGATTGCGCTGCTTTTCCATTGTTTTTTCTGTGTAAACATGGATGTGTTTGAATGTTGCGCTCGCGTCTCTTGCAGCGTCTCATGCATGAAACGGCTCTCTAAAAACACTGCGCTCAAGTTAAAATAAGTTCACTTCCATCTTCTTGCATGTTTTACCTATTCCACTGGCCGCGTCGCATCTTTGTCAACACAAAAGCGCATTCTGTGTGAATGGCGCTTAGCCTATATTTATGGTCCTTCACAGAGCGCGTCACACGTGAGCGGTTAATCACGTGCGCCGACATGCGGTTGGATCGTTCTTTTCTATTTACTGTTATCACCGGCATATTGTCAAAGTGTCTAATTCTAACATTTGGTAAGATTTCTATTGAAAATCGCGATTCCTCCATTTCTAAAAAATAAAATCGTGGCAAAACAATAAATTCAAATTAATGATAAAATCAGGAAAAATCGCCCAGCCCTGATGCATACAGGTGCATCTCAATAAATTAGAATGTCGTGGAAAAGTTTATTTCAGTAATTCAACTCAAATTGTGAAACTCGTGTATTAAATAAATTCAGTGCACACAGACTGAAGTAGTTTAACTCTTTGGTTCTTTTAATTGTGATGATTTTGGCTCATACACTATTTGCAGATGTGAAAAAAATTTAATTTGGTCAGCAAAAGTTTATTGGGCAGCACATAATAGTCTAACAAACTGTGGAATCAAGCCGAGAGCTGTTTGTGTGTAAATGCGTGATTGGACACACCCTGTTCCATTACAGCTCAAGCCCACCTAGTTTCAGAATTCAAAACTTGCCCAGAACCAAAATGACACTGGAGCTGCTGATTTTCTTAAAGGATTGGTTCACTTCCAAAATAAAAGTTTACTGACAATTTACTCACCCCATGTCATCTAAGATGTTCATGTCTTTCTTTCTTCAGTCACAAAGAAATTAAGGATTTTGAGGAAAACATTCCAGGATTTCTCTCCATATAATGGACTTCTATGTTGCTCAACAGTTTGAACTTCCAAATTGCAGTTTCAGTGCAGTTTTAAAGGGCTCAACACGATCCCAGCCGAGGAATAAGGGTCTTATATAATGAAACGATCAGTCATTTTCTTAAAAAAATTAAAATGTATATATTTTTTAACCACAAATGCTCGTCTTACACGAGCTCCGCAATGCACGTCACTCATGACCTTTCCAACATGACTACGTAATGCATGAGGTCAAGCTAATTGCAAGACGAGCATTTGTGGTTAAAAATATGAATTTTTATTTCTTTTTAGAAAATGACAGATCGTTTCGCTAGATAAGACCCTTACTCCTCGGCTGGGACCGTGTTGAGCCCTTTGAGGCTGCACTGAAACTGAATTTTGGACGTTTAACCTGTTGAGCACCATTGAAGTCCATTATATGGAGAAAAATCCTGGAATGTTTTCCTCAAAATCCTTAATTTCTTTGTGACTGAAGAAAGAAAGACATGAACATCTTGGATGACAGGTGGGTGAGTAAATTATCAGGAAATTTTTATTCTGAAGTGAACTACTCCTTAAGATAGTCCTGTGTAATGCCTAGGTGGAGGGTTTGTTTGTGTGTGTGTATGTGGGTGTGTGTGTGTACCTTGGCAGCCTGTGGGGTGCAGGCTACGTGTACAGTGCTGGGTTTGACTCCGTTGGATTTGGGTCTTTTGAAGAGTGCAAATCTGCTCTTCCTTCTACCCCGGTCCCCGTTGGGTAGAGAGCCATTATACCTGCAGAAAGAGGGTGAGAAATTCTACTGAAAACACCTGCCCTCAACACTTACTCCACCACCAATTCAGCCGCAGGCAACAGATGGTGAACATAACAGATAAAAAAAGCTTACAAAAGCATAAACAAATCCTGTATGGTTGATATTCGATCCAGTGCTTTTCTAAGGAAATTGTTATCTGGAACCAAAATCTAATCTAAACCAAATTCCACACAAAAACCATTCCAGAGTCATAAAGTTCATGATCAACTCTTCATAAAATATATCTTTAGGTGAGATGACATACTGAACCTGACACAACCTCATGGCAAGTTTGTAAGGTTAAAAGCCTGACAACTTCTTTTGTCATGGAGCCTAATATGAACAGGGCAATCATGTGCAGGTGGTCAGTATCCACAGAGACAGGATTACCAAGATGAGCAGGGTTAGTAACACAGTGATACCCCACGTCACTTGTAATTTGGCGATCCTAGATTCATATCTGAAATTCAATTCAAATCTGATTTATGGAAATTTGTCTCGGCCTGGATAATCAGGTCGTATTTCAAGGAGTTTCTTTCGTAATTGGGGATGCAACATGTTTCATCATACACAAAGTGCAGAATTGTCCACAACTGACTGAATTCACTCATTAATCCACACATGGAATTTTGAACAATAGTGTATCTTCTGTTGTGTGCTTCAGCAGCAGAGCCATCCTCTTCAGTTTGCCATTATTTTGTTCCACAATGCCAGCTACTGTCTCATGCTGTAATGCTGACCATTACCATTATTAAAAGAACCAATAAACACCAGATCTGAATGAATGGATCTGATATGATTACTTGCAAAATGGCAGTGTGAACATTTAGTACTAAAGATTAAAGTAGGCATTTGAAAAACAAATCTGAGCAGCGTGAAGCCAGTGTACGCTACATAAACACTGAACACTATGAACACTACACCTGCTATGTCTTGTGGTTTCCTCTGTGGATGTTCCCTCTGTGCTCCACCCTGTTACTCACTACCCAAGGGTCTTTCACAGACACAGTGGCTGCAATGTGAAGTTCAACATTGTGCCTTTGGTATTGTGTGGGTTTGGGCTTTAGATGCTCAGCGATGGACTTTATTAAGTCTCTAAATGATTTAACATGAGTTTGCAGAAGGTATGCATTGACGCTGTTGAATGCATTCTCAACATATTTTGGCAAACCCACATTTTCACAATGTACTCTATAAACAAGCAAAACAACCTGACCGATTGTGCTCGTTTCTCTTGAGGCTTTCCTTATACAACTAAACTCCCATTTTATGGACATCAGAAAAATGCAATTAAGACATCTGGGGTTTCCCACCAGGTGACATCTTCAGCTTGAGTAAATCTGAAAAAGCGTTATGTCCCTTACGGCAGAGACTTTCTATATTTATTCTAAAAAACTGATGTAGGGAGGGGGAAAAAACAATGTTAATGAACAGTGTAATGTACACACAGGAGAACCAAGCAGGGTATTTCCGCAGCAGTGTTTTCTCATCTGCCAGTGCATTCCTTGAGTGAGTGAGTGAGTGAGTGAGAGAGAGAGAGAGAGAGAGAGAGGGAAGGCAGTAAACCTCAAAAAGACCAGCATTATGGTCTTTCAGAAAAAGTCCAGATGTCAGGAACACAGATACCAGTTCAGTCTAGGCAGCACCGTCCTAGAACGCACGATGCAGTACACTTACCTCGGCCTGATCATCACTGCATCGGGGAGTTTCAGCTTGGCAGTGAATGCTATCAAAGATAAAGCTCGAAGAGCTCTATACGCAATCAAGAAAAAATTCTAAAATATTGAAATACCGCTTCCAATTTGGTGTAAAATCTTTGATAGTGTAATTCAGCCCATAGCGCTGTATAGAAGTGAGGTTTGGGGTCCGCTCAGTGATCAGAGCTACACTAGATGGGACAGACATCCAATAGAAGCCCTACACACAGAATTCTGCAAAATGATTCTAAAACTACAAAGAAAAACACCCAATAACGCATGAAGGGCAGAATTAGGCCGATTCCCATTGATTATCAATATGCATAAAAGATCCCTCAAATTCTGGATGCATCTTAAATCAAGT